CTAGTATGACATTTAGTCTTTTTTTAATGTAGTGTTCTGACAAATCAAATAATTCATGAGATTCACATCTTTTTTAACCCCCTTTCATCCAAGATTATAAGCTTTTCTTCTTAAACACTATGTGCCAAATGAGTTCGTTGCTTTTCTCTTGATTAATTTTACATCGTGTAGGCTGAAGTGAGTTTCATGTAGTTTCAGATAACAAATTTAAAAGTTTTTTTAATCAGTATACAAGTACTTGATCTGCCATTGCCACATAATGTTGATTGACTTGAGGTCACTATATGTCCAAACTCCAAGGCCGGTTTCTCCATCTCAGTGGTCAATATTCAATATGCGTAAGTACTGCTGCATAACACACATAACTATGATGTTAGTTTCTGAAATGCATAACGTTACATTGTCAAGACGCTTATAGTCTTTTTCCAGACGAGAACCTCTTCCATATTTTGAATATCCAGTTGATTATTAACTACATGTGCTTGTACTTATAATTGATACAGTTTTGTATCAACAGCAAACACATTGCTTTGATGTACCAGACACCACTTTTGGCAAATCATTGACATAGACAAGAAATAACAATTGGAGACAATTAATATCTCAATTACGCTTAAATGCCCGACACCCATGTTTACTTGGCTCCCTGTGGTATATAATAGGTCTTTAGTTTTATGCAGTTTTAGCCGAGTTTTGACTAAGGGTAAACAAATAGCTGAACATTAGTACAGCAAGTCCATAGTAGATTATTAGAAGTATTATTGGGGAAGTGATATTGATCATGAAGGAAGATACAGCACTGAGGTAATATTATAATAATATTTTATACAAATTATTAGACTTTACAAGACTGATGGGTAAAATAAATAAAAAATTACGATAATTGTTATTGGGTTTTAGCAGCGGTAATAGGCGTGTCCAATTATGGAGTCACGACGGATTGCATTATTATTGTAATGAGCAGGAGCAGCCCCGTCCACCCACGCGGATTTTCCTCCACATGGATAATAAACCAGAGAGATAGAAATGGGGTAGCCTACACCACAGTCCCTCAACAAGAGAGGGACTGTGACTACACATAACATGTTCATCTTATCTATTGGTATTTATTGCCCGTCGTTATTGAACAGATTTTTATACAATAATATTCTACGTTAGAAATGATGACAGCGTTCTAACGATGTAATTCTGTCACAATCAACTGTACATATATATATATATATATATATATATATATATATATATATATATATATATCAGACGAGCCACATTTTCTCACTTTAAACTATTTAAAAATCGTATATTTACCTCTAATCGCAGGCACTCTCAATCTCTTCCCGCTGTGAGAATCGAAACAAATTTGAACCATGACCTCTCTTTACTTCTAACAGGTACTAAATATAACGGCCTGATTGATTGGTCACTTTATTGACCCAAATGAAATTTATCCAATGAAAACAAATGTCACATCTTCTAGCTTACGTCCATTAGTACGCATGCGTAAAGGCAACACCTGCAAAAAAATAACATTTCCAGAGTCAGGAAGAGCGTTGAGAAACCAAATACGACGTAATTCTTGTAAAAGTGTGAAAGGCGTGGCTGATGACGGGTGTATGAAGGATGGCGGAAAAGTGTGATCGGATAGACCCCGTCCTTCATGTTGTCGTAGTTGGATTTCATCACAAAAAAGGATGCCAGGTATTAATGTTATCGGGTTTTTTTTTCTTGATTGATCATTCGATTTCTGCCCTGTGTAGTGGAATGCTTTGAGTATTAAAAGTAAATTTGACCGGGGATTTGAACAATACTTGTTGCTTAGCTGAATGCATTTAGGTTGAAATCATTAGTTTAGTTCACTACGCCCACACACGCTAGCTTTGTTTTTTGTGTTTACAAACAGACGTAATCACTTATTGCAGGTCATGGGGGTCAAAATAATAGTACCGGGTAATACTGGTAGTATGAGAATTTGTAAACCATGAGCTGAAGGATTTTTTGGAAAACGACTGCATAATGTACAAACAATTGTGAATTAAACAAATTGTCATGTGACTGATGTGAATTAAATGTATCTACATAATATAATAACGAATTGTATATGGGAAAAGTAAATTCCCTGAGCCTTCTGATTTCATATGGATGATTATATGAGTATAATAGCTTTATAATACAAATAGTCATGTAATTAAACTATAATACGAATTTTGTTTGGTCAATAATGTTTTAACTATAATCGTGTTTCTTTGATTTAATATGAAAATATTAGACGAGTGTGAAGATAGCATACACTTTGATTCACGTTCGATTTGCGTATGATTCATGATCGATTAATACTCCTATTGAAATACCTAAAATTCACGCAAATGTTGATACACTGTAGCCTCTTTATAACGAACTCTTTGGAGGACATACAATTAGTTTGTTATATTGAAATGTTCACTATAATGAAGCACATAATACATTGGGTTTGTTGTGAGCGGGAGACACGCTATGTCTTCATTATATCAGGAAATTCATTATAAAGGTGTTCATTATATTGAGGTTACAGTTTATATAGAAATTTCAGGTAATTTAACAATATTTTTGTCTGGAAAAATAGAGATCAATTTAAGTTTTAGTATTTTCTGTGGAAATCGTACGTGAATCGAACGCGAATCATACGCGAATCAAACCTTACTCTCTCTTCACACTCGTAAATATTAGTACGTTTGAGAATTTAAAACTGTTGTGTTGCATTTTAGTGTAGTTCCTCATAAAGTGTTGTATTTATCACACGATGTTGAAATTTCATTTAAATAAACATAGTATTTTTGTTCATGTTTTATTCTGTATAAATCGTATAGAACATATATGGAACACAACGCAGTCCATTAATCAGGCCCTGTTATTTATTTGATACTGTAACACTGGTATATATGTCATGACCTCGCTGATTTTTTGTCTTTCTTACATGTAGACATATATTTAGCATCACATACAAGCTGTTTATAATCCAAATTTCTTTGCAAAACTTATGTTCTTGACCACCCATTTGTCTTTCTCCATATTAGTTTTAATATTCTTTTTTTTTTTCAGGTTGACTATTCGTATCCGCCTCTTATAGAAGGCTGTAATACAGACAGTCAACAAGTGCCTGAGGAGTGGAAATACTTGCCATTCTTAGCATTACCTGATGGAGCACATCATTTTACTGAAGGTGAATATAATTTTTTTTTTAATTTACAGACATCGTAATCTGATAGAAATTTTAAGTCCTGAAAATGTGGTGAGTGATTGAGGTGACCGATATGAATTATTATATATTTAAAATGCCATATTCATTTTAATTATGGCTAGGGAACATAGAATCATTTGTAAATAAATGTTTTGTTTATTTTACAGATACTGTCTATTTTCATTTACCAGATAAACAAAATAAAAATGTCACAGTATATGGGGTGTCATATTTCAGACAGATTGAATCTAAGGTTTGTATATCAGTATATTAAAATTAATAAATCATATAAATTCCTGAGAAATATATCTTGTAATAAACATAATGTAATGATTACAAACTTGCCCATTGGGAATTTTATTTATTAATAAATAACAAATGAAAATTGAGAATGGATTTAAACTTCACTGCTTGTTGTGCATTTGGTGGAGATACCCTTTTGGTTAATTAGATATCCAAGTTTTAAAAATATTGGATAAAAACATTTTGAGTCAGTATAGCAACCATCAGAAAAAAGTAAGCAGTGGTGTCAAAAACAAGGAAAGACATTTTCTCCTTATACTTTTCCCTTCATATATGATAATACGGGCTGGGTGAAACGTACAAGCAATGTAAATTTGCCTAATTATTAGTTTTTGTTTATGTAATGGGGTATATATTTATTCGTGTGAGAACCATGTCATTCATGTCATTGCCATTTTTGACAAAATAAACTTGAATAATTCAAAAACTCTGTTCACAAGTTATAGCTATGTTCAGTACTGAAGAAAAAATTTGTGAAATGATGTACCAAAATTGTAACAAGAACAAATTATGGTACGAAATGTTCACAAAAATATTTCTTTCTTAAAATTAAAAGGCTTTTACTGTATTTTCATTAATTTAGAATCTAGATTTTTCAATAACAGTGCTTCTTGTAAACTAAATGTCGTCCATGTTTAATACCTAGAATCTGTTAAATAGAACATCTGATGTCACCCGGGGAACTGTTCTTAAGAGTGTGTGTATTCTTAGTAAGTTAGTAAGTATGCAATTAATTTTTATATAAAGCGTTATATTTTTTGATCTATAATATTTTTGGCATTGATAATTCATCTTATACAATTATAAAATTCACAATGACTGAAAAGGCTATGAAAAAAATCTAAAAATATAGTTACTGTTGAATTACAAATTCAAAGTTGGTGAACATTTAAATATTTCAAATCAAGATTTAAGTTTTCTATTTATCTTGTCATGTATGTAAATTGTAAATGTCACTGAGGTTAAAGGTTAGGATGATGTCACTGATAAACTAGGAACAGACTAAAGCTTCGCTACTGTCAAATCTTGTCACCTAAACATATTAGTCATGTTTATATGTAACAAGTGTTCATAACTACCGGTATTTATGATTTTTGCTGAAGTCAGTGAAAATAGTTTGATATTTAACTCATAAAAAACAGCCAAAATAACTTCCCAGTAAAAATTAATTCAAGTAAAAATAAATAAAATTTAAAATCAATGATTTTTCATACCCAAATTTGGGCTGAAAAATGTTACTCCTACTGCAGTATTCCTACTGTGTGTTTCATTACTCAGGCTACTAAAAGAAACATTTGACGAGAATATTAAATGGGTCATTTGAATATTTAAGATAAGATCATGTACTAATAAGGTCATGTACTCTTGGGTTAACATATGAAAAAAGAAAATGGGAAAATAATAGTGAAGATGACATAATTTGTCCATGTTGTGAAAAAGACGAAGAAACTCTTGAACATTTTATTTTGCAATGTCCAAACTTTAAAATAAAAAGGGACAACTTAATGTGTGAAATAAAAGAAATGTTATTGAAGATGAAAGAAACAAATTTATCTGATAACTTCCAGCAACTGAATAACGAAGAGTTATTATGCTTCCTTCTGGGAGATACCACTCAAGGTTATAACAAAGAAATATGTTACACCATAGACAAACTTATGAAAGAATTTTTAGTTGATGCCATGGACTTTAGAACATTTTTACACTCATAAGTAGATTGTGATGTTATTTTTATTGTACTAATATTAATGTTGTTATATGATATTTTTCTTGATCTATAACAGTATTTCTTGTACTTATTTTAAGAAATGTATCTTTAATTTTGCAGCTCCTGTAAAAGTGAGCCCCTGCTTTAAAAGGGTAGCAACAAATAAATAAATAAATAAATAAATAATATTTGAACCATTTCTTGTAATTATATCTCAGCATTGTGGATTTAACAACTAATATTATTTTATTTGGGATTATTTATTTCTCAGCCTCTGTATGGTTTATTTCAAGCCAAACTTCAGTTGATTACATATGCATACTTCAAAGAAAGAGATTTTTCAAAGACAGGAATTCTCAAGGTTGGTAGTTTATATACTTGTATGATAGATCTGGCTATTGATTGACCCATGTGATGGACAGCATACTGTCTTGAGTGCATACTTTTCAGTATCTTTGTAATAACCTTATTATGATATATCTTCCCAACTTAACCACTTGGTGTGTATGAAGCCAAAAACTGAGCAAGATGGTTAAAATAAATTAGTGGGACTTTCTTGCTGTGAACTTTGTTTTCAAAACATATATCATGCATAATTATTCCATATTTGGAATTTGCATTTCCTAATAAGGTAGAATGGCAGTACTTCCTCACACTTACACTCCACACTTACATATCATGCTGCTGTAGCAGTGATACAATGATTTGTCCACCTATATAAATCATCAATGTTTCATTTGTTGTTTTTTTCTACTGTACAGGAACTTTTTGAGAATCTGAATCTGTCAATATCTAGCAGTTTGACCAACGAGCCAAGTCAGATATATCTGGGACTGTCAGTCAGGGATCTAATCATGCATTTCAAACATAAGGTAATCTCACCACGTTTGTTTTTCATAAAAACAGAGCAGCATTTGTGCAACAGAAGATGATTTCCACAAGATTCAAAAATTAACAATAAAACTTGATTTATATGATAGAAAAATGTGAAAAACAAAATACTAAATACAATATACATGTATATACTGTATTTGCTTTAATATTAAAAGTAAACCACCGATAGAAATGCATATAAACCTAAAATTACACATGTTGTATCCTGAATCATTTTAAATATGACTAATTTTCTCTGTAGAAACACGCCAGTTATGTATAAAGCACATGTGGTTCTAATAGAGCAAGTATGTAATATACTGAATAAAAATAAATTCAAACACAACCAACGAATGAGAAAAACATTGTATTACAGCTGTATTTATATATGTACCATACGCAGATGTTCAAAAGACGTATGGTCAGGGCTCAGCAATGTTTTCTGGTGAATGTAATTTTCGTCAGAGTAAAAAAGGCCAAGATAAAATCAGGATTTGAATCTGAAATATACACCAGTATTTGCTCTATTAGAAGCACATGTGGTCACAGTGTGTCTATGTCTATGGTCAATTTTTAATATTTCGTTATACAATTTAGTAGTTTATGTGTGTTTCTATTGGAGATGTACTTCTACTCTGGTAGTATCTGCAGCGATCTATTGGTTCAATACTGATTGTATGTTGGTGTGGTTGCTTTATTTACAGATATTGGTCCTATTCAAATTGTTATTGCTTGAAAGAAGAGTTCTTATATTTGGGTCACCAGTCAAGAATCTCTGTAGTATCATTCTATCAATGGTGTCTCTGTTTCCAGGTGAGTGTAGTGATGACAAAATAATATCAAAGTATACATATAGGCAGTATGGCAAATTGTATAGATTTGTAATAGATGTAACAGAGGTTGATGTGATCCTGTATTGTCAGAGAGCATGCTTCGTGTTATTAACATGATAACGTTATTATACATCTGTTTTCAATGATAATTGAAAAAAATGTTGTGTTCAGTGACTGGATTTCTTTTCCCGCGATGTGCTACGTGTTATTGCATGTTTATTGTAAACACAAGGAAGTACTCAAATGCGACGTCAGTATTCTTAAACGTATCAATATTGATATAGTTGGTGCTCCAAATATAGACAATTTTGAATGTTGGAATAAGCTTTTTTGAAATTGTGAATTCTATTGTATTTGATATCTACAACTGTACAAGTACAAAACCATGAGACGCTGTGATACATAAGGACCTAAAAGTGGAGTATCAATTGGAAAGGAATTGAATGAAATAGAAACTGATGATAATGCAAACAAAAACAAAGAGTTGCTCCTTGTCCTAAAATTGGCAATTTAACATCCTGCCATTTTGTTTTATGCCAATTGTCATATACTGCACCCTCTCTGATTGTGTGTATGTTTTACAGGCATATCCATCCAAAAGGTCAAATATGCAATCTCTATGTAGAATCATGCTCATTGTCGTAGGGTGGTATGTTTACATCAAGCTTGTGAAACAGAGCAATTAGAACAATGATATATTCTAGGCTAGTGAAAGGATGCATGATACAAAAGGTTGTTCTGCCTTGTATTTGGGATACCAGATTAACTGATTGCCAACTCGTTCTATTCTACTGTAGGTATGATTGAATCTGGTCTTTCAGAGTCTGTCAGTTATGGACATGGACGCAAGTTATCGACAAACCTGAAGCTACAAGACTTTGGAATCAACACTGAAGAGTACCTTGATGTTCAGTTTTCACATTTACCAAATTATTCGCATAAACCTAATAAAGTATCTCCTAATAATCAGGAAAAGGAGGTTCTCATTGAAACATCATCAAACGAAAAAATAACAGCAGTGAATAATGATTTAGCAAGTTCTGCCAAACCAGCAGATAACCAGAGTAGAGTTGATAAAGAAATGCAGTCGCCACTTACAATGCAACTAAATGAAAATCATTTTGCATTGCACAGCGAAACAAAGACTGGGGTTCAAAATAACCTTATTGAAAGTAACCCTGTTAATAACAAGATTCATTCAAAATATGACAATGTACAGTCTTTGCCAAATGAGAAAATAGACAAATTTACTCACAATATAAAAGTGAACGAGCAAGAGAGGACAGAGGAGGATGACTTACTTGATTTGATTGATCAGGAACTCGCAGACGGGAATGATAGTAAAACAAATGAGCAGGTCTTACAAGTGATGGATGATACAGACGAGGAGGAAGATTTTACAATCATACATAGTCCCAGTATGCCGCTCTTTAAAACGGATGACTGTGGCTTTCCTCTTGCTCTATTTACCAAGGTCAGATTTCATATATTGTACTTTCCCAAGTATAACATTATTTATAACTTTACAGATCTGAGTTTTGTAGTCTTCGTAAGTGTTTAATAAGCATTTGACGAACTGGAGGCACGAACAAACAAATGTTTATTGCCAGAACCTGCATTGGTTATATGCAGTTAAACGTTTCTACATACTGTACTACCAAATTAACAACTTTCAGTTGTAAAACCTCAAGAGTCCATACTTTTTTTCTCTCGTTTTTTGAAAACAGTTAAATGACAAAAAATTTAATGACAGTCTATGATTATATTTCGCTATGTGAAAACTTTTGTTTTGTTTGTTTTTTGATTTCACAGGGTTCAGTTTGTTATCCGTACATTGCATTGCAACAACATGAAGTCCTACAAGACATTAATGTGCGTAGTTTTCTGATTGGTGCTACAAACTGTCTATTCAAGCAGAAAAAGCATTTACTGGATGTTGTGATCGATATTATAACAGTGAGTCTACATAATCTACCGGTATCATGATATGTGTTTACTGCCCTCAGTGGCCATAATGTTTGTTTTATGCTCTATTTGTTTTTATCACAAGTTTGTTGGCTTTCACATCATTTGTTATCCATCACTGTTTGTCATTCTTCTGTGTTTGTCGCCTTTTGTGTTCATTTTTACCTTGCCCGTACCATCAAAGATGGAAAGGAAAGGTATATTAGGAAAATT